TTTATTCCCTGCGCTGCAGTTGCATCTCAGCCTGTTTCCACCTTGCCTGCAGAGTCCTTTAGCCTCTCTCTCCCCCAGCCCCACGGGGACCGCGGGCTGCTCTCGGCGCTGCCCTCGCAGCGTCCCATGGCGTGGGCTGTCGGGCAGAACCTGCTCCGTTTGGGTGCAAATTCCCACCACGGTTCAGGGCTTGCCCTGCCCACGGTCAGGCCAGAGAGAAAACACCTGGCGTTTCATCCCCGCGGCGGCCCGAGCCTGCCAGGCCCTTCTCAGCCCCGTGTGATGTCTCACTTCTCTCCAAATTAGCCTTCCTCTCTCCTGCCGAGCAACAGGAGGAGGAAGAGGAGGAGATGAGAGCCGCGCGTCCAAATTCCCCCAGCTGCTCTGCCGGCTCCCCCAGTCCTCGCGTGAGGCTCACGCCTTGCTGCTCTGACCTGAGGCTGGATGCTTGCCCCGGGCCGGCGAGGGGGAGTCGCTCCGGGTGGGAACCTCAGCCCAGGAGGTGGGAAGTTGGCCCGGCTTTGCCTCCGTCACACGGACTTCCCGTTCGTCCGCGGGCCGCTGCCGACCGCAGCCCGGGGCAGTTAGTTATTACCAGTGCAGGACGGGTGGGTAAGAGGCAACTGGAGCGGAGGGGGAAAGATCGCACCCGCTCCTGCCGGGGTTAGCTCCTGGGGGGCAAGGGGAATCACCCACCTGGGGTCTCGCTAGCAAACGCCGCTAATTCTGACCAGCCCGGCCTGGCAATGCGGAGGAGAGGCGTGCGAGGAGGGCAGAGCAAGACATCCTCTCCGTCGCCCCGGTGCCAGCTATTTCCCCTCCTCTGCGTGGAGAAGGGTCGCTCAGAGCTGTCGCCCCTCTGCACGGGAAGGGGGTGAATTTAGGGGGCTCCTTCCTGGAGCCTGGGTCTGGGCAGCGGGGACTCTGCTACGAATCTGCCGGAAATCCCGTTGGTACGAAGCGTTCTCCCAGTCTGCAGGTCCTGCCTCGGTTTGCAGGCATGCCGCTGACGGGCACAGCAAAGCGGGGGGGACAGGGGCAGTA